AGTTCCCTTCAATGTCCAACAAGCTGAGAGGAAATTCTTTGAAACTGTCGCCTAGCTAAACCTAAAGATAAGCAGAATTTCACTAAATTGTGGTCCCCAATTTCAACCGGAAAAGAAGTATAGAGGGTAGCGATTTCATTTCCAACTCCAAAGATTCGCTTATGTTTTAGAGTCCATTTATTAAAAGAGAGATAAAAGGAGCGAGAGGAAGTGTTGTTCGCAAAGTTTACAGATTTTCGTTTACGAATATATCACATCCCTACATACCACTTGACCCAGAACGTTGCCCGCGTGCATTTTAATTTTCGGAGTTATTCTCAAAGTTCCCAACATTCCAGCCCTACAATAGTGAAATTAAGATGTCTTGAACAAAGCCAAACCATTTAAGATGATTGACCCATGACAAAATATCTATCCTGATGTTGAAACCCCTTGGGGAGCGGGGAGTTGAGTATCTGAATATGGTTTTTAACATGCCAATGAGGAACCTCGTAATACACGAAGCCTGGAAAAAGACTAGTCATTTTAATACTAAAAGGACATAAGGTAAGGACGCCACTGAGGGACCATCATTCAGACCAATATCCCTCCTGCCGCAAAGTCTCTTGAGGCTCTTTTCCTTCACCAGATGTTCTGCTACCTAACAGCAGAATATGTGGGGAACTTTAAAACACTGATCCCATGTTCAATTTCATGGTCAAGAGGAACACCTGAGCAAATATCTGTAGAAATCCGTTATTACACTGCTAACACTAAACTGGGGGACTAAATAGGTCTGGAGTTCTACATTGAAGACTTAATCACAACATTAGCTTTCAGATAGAAGTCCGAGCAATAACAGAATTCGTAAACTGGAATAGAATAAATATGACGCCAACAGTGGTCAACATATTTACCAACAGCCAGAAGAAAATTAGGGCGATATCAGATAATAAGATTAATTCTAAGACCGTATTGGATTATAAGAAAACTTTAATCGAAATTTCTCCTAAAGATAAGGAATATATTATATGGGTAAAATAGAGTCGAGAGAATCCCATAATTCCTCTTGGAATCCCATAATTCCTCTTGGAAATGCTGGATAGAACCACAATGATCCTATAGGGTGACCCTAATGAAAGTAGGATGAGAAGTCTCCTCAAAATGAGCAGGTCTGATGTTAGCACGTATTTTAAGTGGACACACAGGATTACGGGCACAGTTATACAAAATTGGACTGCGGATTCAGACGAATGTAGAGCATTTTGCCATTGTCAGGCTTTCGTCGAAATTAGATCCAAAAAATCGGGATGTTATTCCGGATATAACATCCCTCACCAACACTGATTGGAAAATTCTTAGGAATCACTTCCAGGAAACTATATAAGATAACAATCCTTAATCTCTTTAAACTTTTTGAACCTTCGCAGAAAGTGCAAGTGATTTCCTATGCTGATGGTTGTACTATTATGCCGCAGACCTCTACGTTAATCATTGTTGAACCAACAACTAACTCAAATGAAGTTCTTAGGAATAACAAAGCGCATAATTTGGGACAAGGATAAAGACACTTTGTTGGCCACCTACATGATGGACCAAATAGTTGATTTGATTACTGATACTAATTGGGGAAATGACAAAATATTTAGGACTTTCACATACCACGGAACACCAAATGAAGGTTCTGGACAAGGTCTAATGGTCCGCAAAATTATATTCTGCAATTAAGAATATTTCTGATTTAAGACAAAATTGTTGGAATACTGGAAAATCAGTCAAATACTTGATTGGCAATATAAAAGATAATATATGACCTAAAATACTACAAAAGTAAACGAAAATAAAAACTCTCTATTGGACTACAGCCAAACTAACTGTAACGTCTAAATGCCAAAAATCATATCAAAATTTGCAGCAACAATAATAGTTTTACGTCTGTGATTTATGAAGAAATAACACAAACCGTTTGTCTATATGTAACTTCTCCCATAGACTATAGTATTACATATAAAAAAAGAAACCATTTAACGTTAGACAAATCAATATCATTTAACCACTTTTACAAACTTAATTTAAACTTTAAAAAAGTTATAATAAAAGTAATATTATTTATCTAAACTGTCTTTTAAAATCCAGGATATTTCCCTTCTTAAAACGACATTATTTTTCAAGTGAAAAAAAACCCATAACATTATCTCTGCGGGGTGAAATGAGGAAGTATTAAAACCCATAACAACAGATGTGCATGTAACTAATAAGAAAAAAAAAAATAACAAATTAATTATGTTGGGAACACCAACAGACCTTTAAATAATTAATTTAAATTAAGGGAATTTATATAAAATTAAAATATAAATATGCAACCCTTATGGTGTTCATTAATAAAAAAAATAACAAAAACCTGCTGGGTCATAGAGTGATGATGAATGCATGTCAATAAATAAACTTGAAAACAAAATGATGTTTGTTGTCGAAAACATCACAAAGTTTTAAAAAGGTATGGCAAGGACTTTTATTTCAAAGTGACATTTAAACAAAAGATAAAGAGATTCTTATCTTCTTAATTATAATTACCACATGAAGTTAATGAAATAAGTTTTCATGAAGCATGAAATATTTTATTCTTGAAATTAGGACTGGTTGCGAAATTTAATACATTAGGGGCATAACAATTTTTTAAAATGTTAAATTAAACATATTACATTCCTACATCTAGACAATTTTAAAAGCCTTTAATAAGGTTTTTGAAAATTGAATTTGGACAGGCTATTGATATGCAATTGAGAACATATTTATATGATTTTTTTTTTTTTGGGATATTTCAAATAGGAACTCCGTCCAATATTCAAGCTACTATTTCTTTACACTAAGCTGTAGTAAGTAACTATCGGTGGGAGGCTAAAAATGTTTCCTGGATGTAGTAGTTCATTGTCAAGGAGTTGTAGAATATGACCTTATTCTGCAGCTCGTACAATCTACACCATTAGATGGAACGAGCTGGGTGTATTTACTATATCCAATAAATAATTTCGTTTCCCAAGCCATCTGTATAAAGTTATAACAGCTTCAGAGGGATTCAATTTGAGACTATATATAACTAGCGATATTTTCGTTACGATACAACTGAAATACAACTTTATGCAGGGTAGCCGAGATTGCCCTAAATATGGCTATCGTCTGGGCTCTACCAACCAAAAGGTCTGAATGTTAACCCAACGAAGACATTAATACATACGTATAATACTTATAAACATATACTGAACCCCGGTTCTTGGACAGCCTTTAGAACCCGATAGGATTCTAAAATGGAAATACCACATAGAGTATAGGACCATTAAAGCATATCGATGTTGGGCGCTATGTAGAAGAATCATATGCTCGAAATTGGGTCTTGGCGAAACTACAACACACTTCAACACACTGACCTTCTATAAGCTCTTCTTCAATTAATGCTCCGGAAACATTCCTGGAGCTCTCTGCCAAGCGCGTCTTTTAAGTACTTATCTAAGCAAATTCATCAAAGACAGATGCAGGTGACGGCATCAATGTATATTAGACATTATTGGCAGGTTAGACACACAGAACAGACTTACCCGATCGAAAACTGGAACATACATTTCGGGAACTGTTAGACATTGGACTAAAGACTAAAGACTAAGACTAAATTTGACTGCAAGAGAGCCATAAACGAAATCTCTTTTTCCAGGCCACTCGGATATTATTAGTAGTTAATCTACTTGCTGTAAAGGGAAACGTGTTTGAGGAAGTTAAGAATAGAATCTTCTAACGTCTGGGCAACAATCTTCACGAGATGAGAGGGCTTGCATGCAAACTCTGCTCATGGTCTTTTGAGCTTTCGAAGGTGGTCATAGTTTTAAAGGAAGTTATAGCTTAAGGTCGTGAGCGTGTGATAGACAGATTTTGAAGGATTGTGATGTGAACAATGCCCTGAAACCAGGTGAAACTTGCGCCAGTTGACATAGTGTTAAACGGATTAGCAGGAGAGATAGATTTTGAAGAACTCCTGGGTCTTTGGGAAACCTCCCTTGGAGAAACTTTCTCTATTCAGAAGCTTGATATCTTCTGATAGGGAGCATTATATTTTTGTGGAAGGCAATACAACCTCTCGTATTGACTCCCAAAGTGATGTTTTGGAATAAGTTCGTCCACATGACGGAAAAGAAACCAATCTTTCTCGGCAAGTCGTTGTGGAGGAGTCTCCAAACGCTTTCAAATCCTTCGTATAAGTCAATGAACGTTACGCGGAAATCTTTAGCATTCTGGATACGATGAAGTGGAGAGATCCAGTATTGTCCTTAATGCAGAAGCACCTTCTAAATAGTATCTAAGGTCCTGTTTGTTTGCCAGCCCAAAACACTTGCGTGAGGATGATGGACCGTCCACGTCAACTACTCGCCGCCCTGATGTAAGTAAAAAGGAAAATGTTGCTACCGAAACCCTAAGGGTATGGATCCCTTAAGGAGTGGGAGTTATGGAGCGGAACGGTTCTAGATGTCAGGCCAGAATGGGATTTGTGACAGCTTGTTGAGGGTAGGCTTCCGAACGAGATCGTTATGTATAGCGAAGATCGGATGCCGTATCGCCTACACAAGATTGATTCTACAGGGCACAACTATACAAAAAGAGACGTGCGGATTTAGACGAATGTTGAGCATACGAAGAGGACAGTGAAACTCTGAAATAGTAATCATTGCCAGGTTTTCGTCGAAATTGATCTAAATGTCATCGGAGCCATGTTATTGCAGATGTAAAATTACTTACGAAAACTCAATGAACAATTCAAAGGTAACGATAAGTAGTTTATCGGTAACGATAGTTTAGCGTCGAGAACACGATGTTTTTTAAATTAAAACCTGAAGATAATAAAATAACATTTTGGCTTCTTAAGTTGTTGCACAATTTCAAAATTTAAAAAAAAAATTCTTTCAAATAACTGCATTAAATTAAAAAATACCAATACAAACCATATAAATAAATAAAAAAGGACATTTTACACTCACCTGGTGTTTTGGATTTTAATTAAAATTTTAATATCCTTTGGAAAAATAAATAAAACCAAAAGAATTTTTTATTGCTGCTAGTTTTTTGTTTTGTTGTCTTTAATAAAAATTTATGTAAATTTTCTAAATTTACATACGTAGTATGTATGTAGAGTATGTTTGAACGTGTACATATGTAAATGTAACACTGTTTATTTTATTGTGTTTTTATTTTAATATTTTCTTTATAAGTAAAGTGAGTATGTAATGCAAAGTGTAAGTTTTTTTTTGGTTTCTATATTAGTTGTTATTGTTGTGGTTTTTTGTGTTGTTAATAATGTTTGCTTTTGTTGCTGTTGTTGTAGCTGTTATTCTGGAGTTACATGTACATTAGGGTCGTCCCAAAATCGAAAGTTAACATTTAGTTTCTTCTAAGATACCATTTCTCAAATTGTTTGTCCTGACATCAATATATGGTGAACTGAATCCAAGATCAATAAGTATGAATTCTATTTTCGGCTGTACCTTTTCAACATATTGTGTTAAAAAACAGTTAATACCCATCTAGTCTAGTCTATACTCTAGTCTAGTCCATAGTCTATTCTATATTCTAGTCTATAGTCTAATATATAGTCTAGTCTATAGTCTAGTCTATAGTCTAATCTATAGTCTAGTCTATAGTCTAATCTATAGTCTAATCTATAGTCTATAGTCTAATCTATAGTCTATAGTCTAATCTATGGTCTAGTCTATAGTCTAGTCTATAGTCTAGTCTATAATCTAGTCTATAGTCTAGTCTATAGTCTAGTCTATAGTTCAGTCTATAGTCCAGTCTATAGTCTAGTCTATAGTCCAGTCTATAGTCTAGTCTATAGTCTAGTCTATAGTCTAGTCCATAGTCTAGTCTAGTAGTCTAGTCATAGTCTAGTCTATAGTCTAGTCTATAGTCTAGTCCATAGTCTAGTCTATAGTCTAGTCCATAGTCTAGTCTATAGTCTAGTCTATAGTCTAGTCTATAGTCTAGTCTATAGTCTAGTCTAGTCTATAGTCTAGTCTATAGTCTAGTCTATAGTCTAGTCTATAGTCTAGTCTATAGTCTCTAGTCTATAGTCTAGTCTATAGTCTAGTCTATAGTCTAGTCTATAGTCTAGTCTATAGTCTAGTCTATAGTCTAGTCTATAGTCTAGATAGTCTAGTCTATAGTCTAGTCTATAGTCTAGTCTATAGTCTAGTCTATAGTCTAGTCTATAGTCTAGTCTATAGTCTAGTCTATAGTCTAGTCTATAGTCTAGTCTATAGTCTAGTCTATAGTCTAGTCTATAGTCTAGTCTATAGTCTAGTCTATAGTCTAGTCTATAGTCTAGTCTATAGTCTAGTCTATAGTCTAGTCTATAGTCTAGTCTATAGTCTAGTCTATAGTCTAGTCTATAGTCTAGTCTATAGTCTAGTCTATAGTCTAGTCTATAGTCTAGTCTATAGTCTAGTCTATAGTCTAGTCTATAGTCTAGTCTATAGTCTAGTCTATAGTCTAGTCTATAGTCTAGTCTATAGTCTAGTCTATAGTCTAGTCTATAGTCTAGTCTATAGTCTAGTCTATAGTCTAGTCTATAGTCTAGTCTATAGTCTAGTCTATAGTCTAGTCTATAGTCTAGTCTATAGTCTAGTCTAGTCTAGTCTAGTCTATAGTCTAGTCTATAGTCTAGTCTATAGTCTAGTCTATAGTCTAGTCTATAGTCTATAGTCTAGTCTATAGTCTAGTCTATAGTCTAGTCTATAGTCTAGTCTATAGTCTAGTCTATAGTCTGGTCTATAGTCTAGTCTATAGTCTAGTCTATAGTCTAGTTTATAGTCTAGTCTATAGTCTAGTCTATAGTCTAGTCTATAGTCTAGTCTATAGTCTAGTCTAGTCTATAGTCTAGTCTATAGTCTGGTCTATAGTCTAGTCTATAGTCTAGTCTATAGTCTAGTCTATAGTCTAGTCTATAGTCTAGTCTATAGTCTAGTCTATAGTCTAGTCTATAGTCTAGTCTATAGTCTAGTCTATAGTCTAGTCTATAGTCTAGTCTATAGTCTAGTCTATAGTCTAGTCTATAGTCTAGTCTATAGTCTAGTCTATAGTCTAGTCTATAGTCTAGTCTATAGTCTAGTCTATAGTCTAGTCTATAGTCTAGTCTATAGTCTAGTCTATAGTCTAGTCTATAGTCTAGTCTATAGTCTAGTCTATAGTCTAGTCTATAGTCTAGTCTATAGTCTAGTCTATAGTCTAGTCTATAGTCTAGTCTATAGTCTAGTCTATAGTCTAGTCTAGTCTAGTCTAGTCTATAGTCTAGTCTATAGTCTAGTCTATAGTCTAGTCTATTGTCTAGTCTATAGTCTAGTCTATAGTCTAGTCTATAGTCTAGTCTATAGTCTAGTCTATAGTCTAGTCTATAGTCTAGTCTATAGTCTAGTCTATAGTCTAGTCTATAGTCTAGTCTATAGTCTAGTCTATAGTCTAGTCTCTATTTTAGTCTATAGTCTAGTCTATAGTCTAGTCTATATTTAAGTTTAGTCTATTTTCTAATCTAGTCTACAGTCTAGCTCCTCCCAAAGACCTTTCAAATGATAAAAACAAGGACCTTCTTACACTTTGGTCCAGCTCACGTAATAATGACCCCGGATAAAAATTGTGAGAAATGTTATCTTCGGATGAACCGAGCGTTCATTTTCAGAAGGAACATAAGTACCTTATTTATTCTCTATACAAACGGGGCTACCCTAATTTACATACATAATTTTTCTCTGCTTCATTTAATGGCAAAATTTGTTGTTGTATTTTTTGTTATTATTTTTCATAGAAAATAGTAATCAATGATTTCGTGCGATTTTCTTGTTTTTTTTTAGTTTTTTATTAAAAATAAATAAAAAATATTTTAGTTTTAAGTTAATTTTTATTTTTTTGCTTTTAGCTGTAATAAAATCGTATGTTAAGTCTCCTCTTTAATAAGACTCTGTATAATATATAAAATCACTTTTCTCACCGAAAATTTTTTTCAATAGAAATTCTTTTGTATTTCTATTACACTTTATTAAACATTTTCTTTTTTTCTTCTTCTTTTCGTTGGAAATTATTAACAAAATGTGTTTTCTTTTAATTAACTTTTAACATGACACAAAGTAGAAAAATTTAAATCAAAATTTTTAAGAATTTCTTTATGATATACAACAATTTTCTTAATTATTCTACTTATTTCCATTATTTCGTACTATTTTTTGTAATTTTCTGTTATATTTCACTTTTAGTTATTTAACGCGTATTTATGTTAAAAAAAAGATTATGTGTGTGGGTATGTACGCCTTTTGTTCTTTTTGTTTTACTCTGAAAGGGCGCAGGGGAAAAAGGTCATCATCACACAGCCTGTGACCATCTCCACATATAAAAAATTTTACAAAAAAATTATAATAATAATAAAAAATTGTGCTTTAGAAAAAACGCAGTCAAGTCAATTGACGTTATATAGACAGACATTTGAATATAGATGTTATTTGGTTTTACAGATAATAAAATAGACAGACGACGATGACAACAACACCACCACCGACCAATAAGCGAGTGGTGTTGGACCAAATGTCAGTAAGAAACTGAATTAAATTCAATTAAACTCACAATCCAGAGAGCATGTCTTGTCTATTGATGATATTAAGCTTACAACAAACTACAACAAAATATCAACAACACCAACAATATACGACAAAAAAAAACCTCCACAATTACTACTTATACGCCATATTATACGGTGTATTATAGTTTCAATAATAAAAATAACAAACAATTTGATTCCTTTTACATGTGCTCTCGCTCTTGCTCTCACTCCTCCATCACTTTTACATGTTTGTAATGTAACATTTATAACTGTATATTAAGTTTTACGTATAGTGTGTAACATTTTTGAAGAGAGTGGCATGTTTATAAATAAACAAAACAAACAAAAAGCACAGGAGGTGGAGAGAGAAAGAATAGGAGAATGATATAAGTGTGATATATTCGGTTAAAACGAACTAAAAATCACTTTCTATTATATCATATTGTAAAGATATGTTTACAATTTTTATTGAAGTATACATAAACAATATGTATATTAAAAGAAAGTTAGTCGAAAGTCCTTTCAATTGATCTATTTAATGTTTTGCATTAAAAATTTGTCGAATTTTGTGCCAAGAAAGCGTCATAGGCGGGAAGTTTTGTTTTACTTCTTTAATTTGAAAAAAGTCTCCATGACTAAGCTCATAATGATTGCGTTCCATCGTTTTCAATGTGCGAGAGATGATTTGTGTGGTGATATACCGAAGCGAAAATGATCACATGTAAAGATCGGTCAATGAACCCAATTTAATTTAAAGGCACATATTCATTAATAATCTGTATTTGGTGACATCAAAAGAGTCCTATATATTATGAGCTGCTGAAATCCGGCCAGACCATCACTGGGAACCTGTACCGAAGGTAGCTGATTTGTTTGAAGCGAGAATTGTCGAGAATTTTTTGTTCAATAATTGATCCGTAATCAATCTTAAACTATTCCGATTCATTTGGCTGCTTACTGTTCAATAAAAAGAATTATGATTTTACTGATTTCTACCTCACTTGGCGGATCTTTATACAATTCATTCTAAAAGAAAACAATGAATACAAATTCAAATTTTTTTAATCTCGACTCCTCAAATCGAGCTTATTACTACAAATAATGCATTGTATTGCACCGAATCCGATCTCTGTTGTCAAGTTTGGTCTTGGTCTCTTTACATACTCTAAATATGACGAGTCCAAGGAACTGCTGATGATGCATAGAGCCGTCTAGAAATGAGGTGCTGGAACTGACGGCGTTTTTAATTTCATTATTACAAGTAAACTGTTGTCTGTAACAGAACAAACACTCCAATATTTAAAAACAGTGATAGATAAGCAATTATTATTACCCAAACTTAGAATTAGTTTCACATTAAATTTTAACAAATCTAAGCAGGATTCCATTAGGGATCCTAGAAAACAAACTATTGACAAATTTCGTCAATAGGATTCAGTCAGGATTTCACAGATGGATACAAATATTCTGCGACCACTTCATATGGAAGTCATAATGAACGTAAATGGATTACAGGATCAGAGGTCGAAGGTTAGACCTTTGATTTCTGAGTTGCACATACAATAGTGCTTTTTAGTAGAGACGAGTATATTGGATCCTAAAGTAATGCATTTGGTTTCGAACAAAACTATTGTCCAATTCACAATCGATGTCGTATCGTTGTAACGTTGTATGTAATAAAATTTTTCAAATAACATTTTTTGATACAACCGTACAACACCTATTGTGAATTTGACATATTTATAGAACTAAAATATAGAAACAGATATTATATTGTAGTTTGGTTAGTCTTAACATTAACCCTCATACTGCGCCATCATTTAATCGTTGGTATCCCAATCAATTGCCTAATATAACCTTAATTTAATGAATTTGCAAAAAGTAATACCAAATCATCTCTCACGCAGAGTATTTCTTAAATTGAACAAACCCGTAACATTTAGTTCTTTAAAGAGAAGAACTAGGGGTAAAGTGAAAAATGTGATAATCATGATAAAATTGCATGCATTTAAAACATTTATTTAGTCATGTTCTTTTGTAGTTACATTTATAGAGAAAATGTGCGTGAATGTCAAAAAGAAACATCATTGTTTTAATTTTAGCCAGTTACATTATACTGCAATTAACCCTAGAAGGAAATTTACATTCACAGTAAACAAATATGTATGTAATTTTAATGTAAAATATCATGAAAAATTTTTTTAATTGCAATTACTGAGTGAATCTTCAACAATTATATTTTGCTTTGGGTTTCACAGAATATATGACACTTTATACAATGATAGCAGTAGCTATAGAAACTATACAATAATTAAACTAGATTCGAACTAGAACTGTACTAGAATAGATATTGAAATAAACAAGACCTGAAGTAGAACAGATCTATAAATAAACTAGATCTAAACTAAAACTGAATTAGAACTGAACTGGAATTGTATTAGAACCGATCTAGAAATAAACTAGACCTGAATTAGAAGAGATCTAGATAAAAACTAGAACTGAAGTGGAACTGAATTAGAACTTAACTAGAACTGAGCTTGAATTGAACTGGAACTTAACTAGAACTGTACTAGAAATTAACTAGAACTCAACTAGAAATGAACTAGAACTGAATTAGTAAACTAGAACTGAACTAGAACTGAACTAGAACTGAACTAGAACTGAACTAGAACTGAACTAGAACTGAACTAGAACTGAACTAGAACTGAACTAGAACTGAACTAGAACTGAACTAGAACTGAACTAGAACTGAACTAGAACTGAACTAGAACTGATCAAGAACTGAACTAGAACTGAATTAGAACTGAACTAGAACTGAATTAGAACTAAACTAGAACTGAACTAGAACTGAACTAGAACTGAACTAGAACTGAACTAGAACTGAACTAGAACTGAACTAGAACTGAACTAGAACTGAACTAGAACTGAACTAGAACTGAACTAGAACTGAACTAGAACTGAACTAGAACTGAACTAGAACTGAACTAGAACTGAACTAGAACTGAACTAGAACTGAACTAGAACTGAACTAGAACTGAACTAGAACTGAACTAGAACTGAACTAGAACTGAACTAGAACTGAACTAGAACTGAACTAGAACTGAACTAGAACTGAACTAGAACTGAACTAGAACTGAACTAGAACTGAACTAGAACTGAACTAGAACTGAACTCGAACTGAACTACTGAACTGAAATGAACTAGAACTGAACTAGAACTGAACTAGAACTGAACTAGAACTGAACTAGAACTGAACTAGAACTGAACTATAACTGAACTAGAACTGAACTAGAACTGAACTAGAACTGAACTAGAACTGAACTAGAACTGAACTAGAACTGAACTAGAACTGAACTAGAACTGAACTAGAACTGAACTAGAACTGAACTAGAACTGAACTAGAACTGAACTAGAACTGAACTAGAACTGAACTAGAACTGAACTAGAACTGAACTAGAACTGAACTTGAACTGAACTAGAACTGAACTAGAACTGAACTAGAACTGAACAAGAACTAAACTAGAACAGAACTAGAATTGAACTAGAACTGAACTAGAACTAAAATAGAACTGAATTAGAACTAGAACTGAACTAAACTAGAACTGAACTGGAACAGAACTGGAGCCTAACTTAATCAGAACTGTATTAGAACTGAATTAGATTAGAACTTAAACTGAACTGTACTAGAACAGACCTAGAAATAAACTAGACCTGAACTAGATTTAACCTAGAGCTGAATTAGAACCAAACTGGAACTTAACTAGAACAGTACTATAAATAAACTAAAACTGAATTAGAACTGAACTGGAATTGTACTAGAACCGATCTAGAAATAAACTAGACCTGAATTAGAAGAGATCTAGATAAAAACTAGAACTGAAGTGGAACTGAATTAGAACTGAACTAGAACTGAGCTTGAATTGAACTGGAACTTAACTAGAACTGTACTAGAAATTAACTAGAACTCAACTAGAAATGAACTAGAACTGAATTAGAACTAAACTAGAACTGAACTAGAACTGAACTAGAACTGAACTAGAACTGAACTAGAACTGAACTAGAACTGAACTAGAACTGAACTAGAACTGAACTAGAACTGAACTAGAACTGAACTAGAACTGAACTAGAACTGAACTAGACTAGAACTGAACTAGAACTGAACTAGAACTGAACTAGAACTGAACTAGAACTGAACTAAACTGAACTAGAACTGAACTAGAACTGAACTAGAACTGAACTAGAACTGAACTAGAACTGAACTAGAACTGAACTAGAACTGAACTAGAACTGAACTAGAACTGAACTAGAACTGAACTAGAACTGAACTAGAACTGAACTGGAACTGAATTTGAACTGAATCAGAACAATATCAGAACTGAATTAGATCTGAACTTAAACTGAACTGTACTAGAACAGATCTAGAAATAAACTAGACCTGAACTAGAATTAAACTAGAACTGAATTAGAACCGAACTAGAACTTAACTAGAACAGTACTAGAAATGAACTCGAACTGAATTAGAACTGGACCTGAACTATAACACATCTAGAAATAATCTGGACATGAACTAGAACTTAATTATAACTAAATTAGAACTGAATTATATTTTAATTTGAACTGAACTAGAACTGAACTAGAACTAAACTGGAAATGAAGTAGAACTAATCTAGAACTGAACTATGACTGATCTAGAACGGTTCAAGTACTGAACAACAATCGAGTTCGAAAAGTTCTAGAAATGAACTAGAACCGATCTAACTGAACTAGAACTAAACTTAAACTGAACTTGAATTAAAACTGAATTAAATTTGAACTTGAACTGAATCAGAACTGAACTAGAACTGAACTCGAACTGAACTCGAACTGATTTAGAACTGAACTCTAACTGATTTAGGACTGAACTAGAACTTAACTAGAACTGAATTAGAACTGAACTAGAACTGAACTAGAACTGAACTCGAACTGAACTAGAACTGAACTATAACTGAACTGGAAAT